TTAAATTATTTACAACTTAGTTTATTGCACATTGCTTTTATAACAATAAAAAGAAATGCAGATCCATAACATTAGTCCCTGTATGTCCTGTGACCACATGATAATCTCCCTGCTTAACTCCTTTATAAAAATTATATGAATCATTGTTATTGATAAATGATTCCAAATCACAAATATTTTTGGAATTCAACTCCAAGAAGTCTTTGACGACTTCAGAACACGCCAATGCACCAGCAGCATTCGTGGGTCCATCAATGCCATCAGTACCGGCACTAAGGAAACAAACGTTTCGCAAACGTTCTTGGCGATAAAACTCCAGTGACAATCGCAACGCCAATTCTTGATTACGGCCACCAAGACCAGAACCCGAGACCTAAAATATACCAAAATAAAATTAAATATTTCCTTTAAAAAAATAAATTAAAAGAGGTTGACCAACCTTCACCGTGGGTTCCCCAGCCGTAATTAGCATTAGAGGCTTCTTCGATTTCTGACACATCAGCAGGGTTTTTAGGAAATGTTGAAAAATCCTTGAATCAAATGGAAATCTCTTCCTCAGTTCATATTCCTCAATGAGGCCTTCCTGGAAATCATAAATTGCCGCCAAAAAATCACAATAGGTCTTGGTGAGATCCTGTACATCTCCCTGCATGGTGGTGGATGCAATAAATGGATTATAATTACAATTCATGGCCTCGGAGACTGCAGCCGATGTGGCCACACGATTATCTCCCACCACATAAATTGAATTATTCTGTTGCGAAATCACTTCCCCATCATTTCCAGTGGTAATTAAAATTTTCACATGTTCCGGCAAATCCTGCCATAGCTCGTATTTATGCAGAATTTCTTCAGGGCTGGTTTGCTTCGGGGTTGAAGTCGTTGAAACCCATGTGGGTCCACTGGCAATCAAATCAACTGGATCACCAACTATATCACTTATCACAAAGGAGATTACCGCTGAAGCTTTGCTGGCAGCCATTGCCAATTGGCCACCCTTTATCGATGATAAGGCAATGCGAACCTGATTCATTTCTTGTATGGAAGCTCCTTTGTTGGACAGGTTTTTTATTAGTTGCATTTTTTCTGTTAAAGTTATCGGATCTTTGGGGAGTGGTAGTAAAGCTGAACCACCTCCCGAAATTAAAACGAAGAGAATATCATTTTCATTTAATGATTCCGCAAGGGACTTGATTTCTTTGGCCGCCTTTAAGGCTATCATATCGGGTTGATTGTTTTCAGCTCCTTCATAGACCCTAAACACGGTGTCCTCTTTGAGGCACATTTCCTTAATTTCACGAAATTGCTGTTGACTACCCTAGAAAGACGATCAAAAAAGTGTAAACAGAAGTATTTTATGCAAATTTAAAAAGTATAACTAAATTTGAACTTACAATTATTCTTACACTTAGCTTTACTTAAAAATTATTTTTTGAGGTTAGTTTGTATTTTGAAGTCACTTAAAATCTGCACCAATTCGATTTTCGTTAAATAGACAAATCCAATCCTTGTTTTAGACCCTAAAAACTATTCTTAACAAGATCAAGGCCTTGTTTTAGACCCTAAAAACTATTCTTTAAAAGATCCATGCCATGTTTGAGACCCTAAAAACAATTCTTTAAACAATCCACGCCTTGTTTGAGACCCTAAAAACAATTCTTTAAAAGATACACGCCTTGTTTGAGACCCTAAAAACAATTCTTTAAAAGATCCACTCCTTGTTTGAGACCCTAAAAACTATTCTTTAAAAGATCCACGCCTAGTTTGAGACCCTAAAAACTATTCTTTAAAAGATTCAGGCCTTGTTTGAGACCCTAAAAACTATTCCTTTAAAGATCCATGCCTTGTTTGAGACCCTAAAAACTATTCTTTAAAAGATCCACGCCTTGTTGGAGACCCTAAAACTATTATTTTAAAGATCCACGCCTTGTTTGAGACCCTAAAAACTAAAAACATAAAAAATCCACGCCTTGTTTGAGACCCTAAAAACTAAAAACATAAAAAATCCACGCCTTGTTTGAGACCCTAAAAATATTTATTAAAAAATCCACGCCTTGTTTGAGACCCTAAAAATATTTTTTTAAAAATCCACGCCTTGTTTGAGACCCTAAAAATATTTATTAAAAAATCCACGCCTTGTTTGAGACCCTAAAAATATTTTTTTAAAAATCCACGCCTTGTTTGAGACCCTAAAAATATTTTTTTAAAAAATCCACGCCTTGTTTGGGTACCCAAAAAAATATTCTTTAAAAAGTCCACACCTTGTTTGAGACCCTAAAAATATTCTTTAAAAAGTCCACGCCTTGTTTGAGACCCTAAAAATATTCTTTAAAAAGTCCACGCCTTGTTTGAGACCCTAAAAATATTCTTTAAAAAATCCACGCCTTGTTTGGGTACACAAAAAATATTCTTTAAAAAGTCCACGCCTTGTTTGAGACCCTAAAAATATTCTTTAAAAAATCCACGCCTTGTTTGGGTACCCAAAAAAATATTCTTTAAAAAGTCCACGCCTTGTTTGAGACCCTAAAAATATTCTTTAAAAAATCCACGCCTTGTTTGGGTACCCAAAAAAATATTCTTTAAAAAATCCACGCCTTGTTTGGGTACCCAAAAAAATATTCTTTAAAAAGTCCACGCCTTGTTTGAGACCCTAAAAATATTCTTTAAAAAATCCACGCTTTGTTTGAGACCCTAAAAATATTCTTTAAAAACTCCACGCATTGATAGAACCCTAAAAAATATTCTTTAAAAGATCCACCCTTTGTATAGAACCCTAAAAACTATTCTTTAAAAAATCCACGCCTTGTTTGGCACCCATAAAAACATTCTTTAAAAATTTAATTTTGGTATTTATTAATAAAATATAATTTAAGAAAAATATATATAAAATAAATTAATCCAAATTTTGATATACATCAAAACCACGAGAATAATCAAATTGCAAAGATAACTCCGGTTCGGGGACCCAGTGAGTTAGTGCTGGCATTGGTTTTAAATAGTCACGCAAATTTGGCTGTAATGAGGTATCGGCGGATTTTGCAACTTTACCAGTCCTTGAAGATGATTGTTGTTGTGGTGGGGAGGGTAAAATCGAATCATTGACATTCAAAGGGAGCAGATTCTTAAAAACATTATAGGTAACCCCGAAATTTAGTTTCTTCGTTGTTTCGCTTGGTAAGGAGGGAATATTGTCAGCAGTGGCTGCTGCCGAAGGAACCTTTTGATTTTGTAACTTTTCAGCCTGGCGCATTTGCCGCAAGGTGGTATATAATTTTGGTCGTTCCATGGTGCTTCGAAGGGTTTGCGATTTTAATATAATATTCAAAGAAATTTTCACTTTGTTAATTTTGAAGATATAAAAAAATTAGGCGCTTCGTTTTGTTTACAAAATGAAATACAAAAACAAAACAACAGCAACTAAACATCTGTTCAATTTCGATATTTATTTTCAATATTCGATTTGATGCCTGTATATACGATAATTTTTGTATCCCAACTTATACAATTAACCGCTGTACTATCCAAGGCAACCACCATTCTCTTTATAGCCCTCTAAACGATAACTCGTTTCTCATAGAATTATCGATAACAAATACGATTATTTACTTACCTTTGGTATACTCAATATGCCCTGCTTCAGTGTGTCGCCCAATGCTTTTTCCAATTCCACCGCCATACCCAATACGGCTTTACCAAAACCCACTGCATGACACTGTTTATGGGTGATATCCACCCGTTTACCCTGCAGCTGTATAATTGTTCGATCACCTTCCGAACGCGGTTCCAAATTGTAATTATTACGCGAAGACAATAAATTATGCGGCCGCACCGATTCGACGGATTTGAGGAAAATTGTTTTCAGATTTTGTAAATGCTGCCAACGGTTATACATGGTTAGTCACGACACTTTGTTGTACACTACACGAAACTTTATAAATCGAAATATATTGAAATAAATTTCAATATTTTACTATTTTTTGGCAAACGGAATCTCACTCTGATAAGAAAATTCGAATGAATGAACGAAGTTATCAGTAGCAGATAAATAAACAAACTAACAGCTGTTGCTGTGAAAAGCCGACTAGTAAGAAGAAGCATAGAGGGAATTCAAAGGGAAATTGATAACCCCTGTTGAATTAGTTTCAATGTGTCGTAGATGGGCGATATTGGAAGTTACGAAGTAATTTGAAAATTTTAAAGAATCCAGGAAAGCCCAGAACAGACAATTCCCATACCGATTGAATTTGTAATTCCTTTATGAGATTATCACTCAGCGAATTCTGAAGTTTGGATTAAAATGCCAACGAGAAGAGGATGCGTAACCTAACGAAGATTGATCTCACTTAAATGGAGAACTGCATCAAGTATAGCATTAAGTTTCTGTCCATGTTCGGCGAGCATTAGGCTCGGCTATGGCACCTCTTGATGACCTTTATCAGGTAATTTATTTAATTTTTTTGACAATTGGAAAAAAGTCCCATTAATGTCAGGCCAATTTCTTGTATAATAGTACGTTTACGTTTAACCGGATTTCGTTAACCCAGTGGGTTTCAATTGTCAATTCCTTTGCATATATGTCAAATAAATCCTCATAAAGTAGGTTAACCCGGTAAAAAATTCTAATGTAAAAGCCGTTTAAGTCTTCTGGAGCTACAGCTATATCCAACATTCAGGACCTAAATGTGCCTAATGAAATATTGGATTTACACTCCATGTTTCTTTGGACCAAATCCATTTCAGACAAATTGGAATCGATTTACAAACGTTCGTCCGTCTGTCTGGCCGGCTGGTGCGCTCAATAACTTTCGAAGGAAGTAACCGATTTCATCCACACTTTGCACATCGTAATATTTCTTCCAAACTTAGTTCAAGTTCGAAGACGGGAAATATCGGTCCACTGCTTTTGGTACCTTCCCCACAAAATGGTCAAAATTATATTAAAAATTAATTTCATAATATGCGAATCGACTATCCGTTTTGAAACAAACTTTGTACAACCTATTATCTTTACCAAGCCTACATGAAGTCCGAATATGGATTAGTGGACCAATACTTCTGATATCTCCCACATAAATTATCAGAAATTTCAATATTTATAAATTCCAATATCAGAAAATGGATTGTCCGATTTGTACAACCTATTATGTTTACCGAGCCTATATGAAGTCTACTCCTTCTGGTACCTCTCTTACATGCGGTCAATTTGCCTGATTTGAACCAAACTTTGCACAACCTATTATCTTTACCAAGCCCATATCAAGTCCGAAGTTTAGTCCACCTGCCGGCAACACCGATTGATACTTTTTTACTTGTTTTCTTAATAAATTAGCTAGTATTTTTCTTGTAGAAGATTTTTGGAGCTACAGATATAGAAAACTTCCAGGACGTCTATTTTCTATTTCAACCGGTTGTTCTTGTAACAGTTTCTATCAGAAACGAAGGGGTTTGCTTATGAAGAAGCCCTTCACTATCCGAAATTGCAGGAGGTTGGAGTAGGACTTTGTTGCATTTCATCGCGTTCGCTATCGACGGTCTGTTGGCGTCAGATGAAGTAATGACCTTCACAATATTTCGCCTTTCGTCCTGACGGACGAAAGAAGTCTAGGCAGGGGTAGCAGAATAAATTATGTAGTTGTGGTACATTCAAAAGAGGACATATCTTCTACAGATCTTCTATAAAAAAAGCCTCCTGGATGGCTTCTTTTTAGAAGATCTGACCTTTTAGAAGCATTCTCACTATATCCTATCCTCTATAAATATCTAAATTTATAGAATATTGAAAATAGATGTATCTTTTAGAAGGCCTCATAAGGCATTCGTTCTAATAAGCCTTTCGTTTTCAATGGAATATTTTTTGAGGTCTCCCAGCTGCAAAATACCTTATGGAGATCCTTAAGTGATAGAGGACATGAATACCCTCTGTGGGCCCTCCTTTGGCCAGAAGACTTCCTGTATGTCGTCTATTGCCAGAAGATGTATATTATTTTAGAATAATATCTTGCGGAGGTTTAATATCTATGTACGATATTGTATCCTAACCTCTATAAAGCTCTCAATTTTGTAAAAAAAAAAATTAAAAAAATATATTCTAGAGGACCTCGTAAGTCATTCGATCTACTAAGCCTTCTGTAGCCCATTTTCAATGGAATATTTTTTCTGAGTCTTTCAGCCTTCTGTAGATCCTCTAGTGATAGAGGACATGAATATTTTATATGACCTCTTGAGGAGGTCTAATATCTATGGAAGATCTTGTATCCTATCCTTTATAAAGCTCTCCATTTTGTAGAAGATTTAAAAAATATCTTCTAGAAGGCCTCGTAGGGCTTTCTATCTAAAAAAACCTTCAAAAGAATATTTTTTGTGGGCCTGTATAGCCAGAAGACTCTATTCTATAGCCAGAAGACCACAGTATACGGAAGACCTCCTGTCGGCCTTCTAGAGCACAAACTTATGCGTATTCATAAACTGTCATTGAAAATTAATCCTTATATTTGTCAGTTGGAAGCATTGCCGAATGGTATCGGACACATCCACAGGTTGCGGATATATAGTGGGTAGCAGGGAATTAAAAAAAAACTGTGGGGGTTTAATGGCAATGCCTCTCTGGAAATAACGGAATACCAATAATTCTTGAGATGACGAGGGGAATATTGACGGCACTAAATAAACCATTACCCTGAAGGACTACTTCTTAATGCTGGGATGTTACGCGACCTTGTGCCTATCAGTGTTTAATTGTTTGCAGTCAGGGAGCGTATGTATTCGAACGGAGCTTGAGTTGTAATGTGCATACCATGGTAAGGATGCTGTGTCGCGGCCGATAAATTGTCATCCATTTAATCGATGATTCATGGATTCAGAAAAAAATTAAACAAAATTCTAAAATAACATAAAACCAAAGTCGGGAAATGAATGAAATAGGTATACCTTGACATTTTCAGCCTCAAACGGTATCAAAAGTACAAGCTCACGCTAACACATTACTGGACATAGAGAACCACTTCTTAGCCTTATTGAGCAATATGGAAAGTATCCCGGCTGGTATACACATTACTTCCATTACGGGCTAGGCAAACGATGCTGAATTTGTTTGGGATTTAAGACAAGGCGTGAGTTTTATAAAGAATATTTATTGGGACCTAACACATGGATTTTCTTGGGTCTAAGACAAGGCTTAACGACCAGGTAATAATATTGGGATGAAGTGGACCGAAAACTTAATTTTTTGTGTTTTATAGAGTAGATCTATAGGTCACACTTGAAAGCCGAACATCACAACACAACCTACGGTGAAGGGAATCTGTGAAGTAATTAGAAGAGCTGTATTGAATATTAGTAATATTTGTTGACCTCTAGTCGGACAAGAGGGTGCAAATATCTCGAAATATTGCCAAAGCTCAGAATGTATAACCACAGAAAGTTAGATTTTCGTGGATGTTGTATAGGATATCATATAGTCGGCTACGTCTCACTATACTACTCCGCTCACTGGTTTAAGGAATAAATTTTTGGACACAAACAAGGCGTAGATTTTTACTTTTTTTTGGATTATTTTTTTAATATTAAATGCTCAACATAGTTTATGCAAAAAACTATGATCCCGTTATAGTTTGGACTATACCATTAACTACAACTAACTCCGTCTGGGCTGGAGTACCCAAGGCAAATGGTGATGACGAGCCGGTGGAAAGGAAATACGAACCGCGGGCTCTGAAAGAAAACGAATAGAACACATCTGACAAAGGAAATGCAAATTATTTCTCTACTCACTTATCACTGACATAATAGCCCATCAATTGATTCTCCACATCGAAATGATGGCATTGATTCAAAATGTAATGGACAAAGTCACCACAATAATACGACCAAAATCCCAATTCCGTTGTAATCGATTCGGCATAATAGATCACCGAACGAAAATGATTGCAATTTCCTAAGGAAGAAAACAAAGAAAAAATAGAGTGAGGAATTATTCAATTCTATTTTCAAAATACTTCTCTCCTCGAAAAAACTACAACCCGGTTGAACGATCGATTCCAAATTTGGATAAAAATCGGCATGGCCAATGGGTGATATAAATGAAAACAAATATGGATCGGTGTGTATAATATCAACAAAGTCGGCATCCGTGGGATCCAATTTGTCCTTCGGATCGGCGGATGTAAAACCCCATGCAGCAGGATCGAGGCCTGTTTAAGAAGAAAATAGAAATTAAACAAGTAGTAAAAGTAAATATTTTTAGGTTCTATATAATGTATTTTTTATAAAATATTTTTTGCGGTCTAAAACAAGGCATGGATATTTTACCTGTTATCTTGCCTATTCGAAAATCCATATGATTTGCCGCCAAGCCTGCAATTTGGGCACCCAAACTGAAACCAATTATGTGTATGGCTTCTGGTTTATACATTTCCATTTCTACAAGCTTCTTTAAAAATTCCGCCAAACACTTGGCCACAACATGAGTATTTTCTATGGCCCAGGGATAAAGACATGGTAATGTAGCCAACGGCTCATAATCCACACTGATCACATCAACATCCACATATTCCAATAGTAAGGGGCGAACTTCGGCATTAGGAGATTTATCCTTATTTAAACTTAGACCATGGATTAAAATTTCCAAGCCCGGTTGGCTGGGTTGAAATATGTCCGTTGTTATATTTAAGGGATCCAAGAGTAGGGGAGTGTTGGGAGAATTCCTATTAAAGAAAAAGAGGATAATTTATGGAATTATTTATATTTTTATACATTGAGGTTATACTAACTTTTTGTACAGCCAAAATCCAACATCCTTATTGGGGCATTTATTTTCGGCAAAATAACATGGAAAGGCCGTATTAAGTTCAAATCTAAATAACACTTCAATCGAGAATTAATTTGAATTCCAATTAGAAATAAAAAAACTTCGCTAGCCTTACATCCAACCACCAACCACAGAATGTGTTTCGTTACTAACATCTCTCCCGAACTTCAATATTACAACAAACTTTCATTTTGTTATGGCTTTCAATATAAATATGAAAATTGTTTTGTTTTTTTTATTTTCAAATTAAAATCTACAAATAAATATTATTAATCTATATCTAATTAGGTCAAGTTTGTCTTTTTATGTGTTTCAGTTCTAAAACAAATGCACGTCTCGTACATGCTGGTTGTCGTGTTTTTTGCTTCGCTATTCTCAGTATTTTGCTACTGTGACGCTACTACTGCTACTGTGCCGCTCATCGAAATGTGTCATTTTTCGAAATTCTACAAAATCATAATCGGTCCAATCAATGAATGCCTTACGCAGCTGAGGCTCGAAATCTTCATCGTAAATATCCTTGTAATCGTAGAGCATGGGCTGACGTCGGCCATTCATATTTTGCGATACCAGTTTGCCCATGGCAAAGGGTGATTTGTCGTGCGTTTTCAGGAAATAGGAACCGGAGGCACTGAAAATGTGAAATAAAAAATATTTTTTTAATTTACAAGCCTTGTAGAGGGACCCAAAAAAATATTTTTTAAAAAATCTACCCCTTGTGTATCGACATCCTTACCTCCTCTTTACCCGATGACCCATAATTTCATCATTCGAATATGGATTGCACAGACCAAAAATATTGTGCAGCCAACTAGGACATGCATAGGCCCAAAATCCCTCTGGGTTGCGTATCGATTCAGCATAGTATTGAGGGGCACGATCGTGATTACAGCTACCGGGATCTACAAATATAATAATGTTTTAATTAATTTCCAAAAAAGTTTTGCCTCCTCCCCTTACCCTCCATATTATCCATTTGACAGCCCGGCTGGTAGGGACCTATATTTGGATAAAAATCCACATGGCCCATAGATCTCAACATGCCACGACCCAATACATCGGTATGTATGACATCGACAAATTCGGCATCGGTGGCATCCAGCTTGCGATCGGAACCCACCGTTACAAACATGGGCTTGGCGGGGTCCAAACCTAGAAAAACCCCATCAGAGAAAGTAAATTAAAAATCAGGGAACACATATGTAGTATGACAAACTTACCCGTAATCCTTTTCAAACGCCTCTTGAGATAATTTGCCGTCTGCCCTGCCACCTGAGCCCCCAAACTAAAACCAATAATATGGATGCTGTCATTTTCCACAATATTCTGATCGACCATGGTGTTGATTAGATGACCCAAACATTTACTGGCCAGGGGTAGATTTTGCACCGCTGCAAAATAGCAGGGGTATGGAACCAAAGGACCATAATCCACCGAAATCACATAGACATCTTGAGTTTCTAACAGAGCTGGACGTATATAGGTATTTGGTGAGAAATCACGATCTCCGGTATAGCCATGTAAAATTATGTACAGAGGTTTGGCAGGCTTAAAGAGGTCCGGTGATAGATTTAATGGATCCAATTTAAGGGGAGTATTTTGAGTTTCACTGAAAGGATATGGAAGGAGGAAATATTCTTTAAAAACGCCACGCCTTGTTTAGGTGCCGGAAAAAATATATCCAAAAATATTCTTTAAAAAATCCACGCCTTGTTTAGGTGCCGGAAAAAATATATCCAAAAATATTCTTTAAAAAATCCACGCCTTGTTTATGTGCCGGAAAAAATATATCCAAAAATATTCTTTAAAAAATCCACGCCTTGTTTATGTGCCGGAAAAAAAAAATATCCAAAAATATTCTTTAAAAAATCCACGCCTTGTTTAGGTGCCGGAAAAAATATTCTTTAAAAAATCCACGCCTTGTTTATGTGCCGGAAAAAATATATCCAAAAATATTCTTTAAAAAATCCACGCCTTGTTTAGGTGCCGGAAAAAAATATCCAAAATGTTCTTTAAAAAATCCACGCTTTGTTTAGGTGCCGGAAAAACATTCTTAAAAAAATCCACGCCTTGTTTCGGTGCCGGAAAGAAACATTCTTTAAAAAATCCACGCCTTGTTTAGGTCCCTGAAAAATATTCTTTCAAAAATCCGCATTATGTTTAGGTCCCTAAAAAATATTCCTTAAAAAATCCACGCCTTGTTTAGGTTTCGGAAAAATATTCTATAAAAAATCCCGAAAAAAATATTTTTGGGTGGACCACTTGGTTTTCCATATCCATGTTCCACTGCATTCGACTTTGTTTTTCCACTTACTTGGTATATAGCCAAAATGTCACATTCTCATTGGGACAATCACCCTGGATGACAACACACTTCGGATCGAATAGGCCCACAAAAGGATTCCCGTTTGTAAAACCTAAACAAAGATTTTCATTTATTTACAACAACTTCACACAATAACAACAACAAAACCATCGTTCACACCTTTAATTAAAATTATAAATAAACAAATATTGGAAATTATTTTGAAATTTTTTAACAACATTTTTTGTTTTTGTTTTGGGGAGGCCTTTTCGGAACCACTAACTTCGGTGAAGACTTTTCTTAGAATAAACGAAATTCATTGAAAATTCTGGCTTTTTATATGACAAATCGAAATGTTGATAGACAACCAACATCGTTACGCATATTTTAACAAAATTTCATTTCAATTTCAAAAAAATCAAAATTTTTTGTTGATTAGTGGTTTCCCAATTTCTTTCCCATTCAACAAAAGAATTAACACCCAATTTGGTAGTCACCCTATTCTGTCAGTCCGTTAGGTAGTTAGTTAGTTGTGACATGACATGACAGTGACTGTTCACTCTCCAGGTGGGCGGACGTTCCATTGATTAGGTATCACTTCTGTTTGTTTTTATTTCGGTTTCAAATTAGCCACCTATTGCCACCTGACTTTGAGAAACGCAACGATAGTGTCGTCACAAAGTGATTTAGAGCTTCATTAGAATTACCGAACACCCTCATAAAAGTTTCACTCGGCTGGCGGTAGCTGCCATAGATTTGCTGCAACAACAAAGTCGACAATCCGACTTTTTTGTTGCGGCTCGAAATTCAATGTTGCATTATTGGATCAAGGTTTTGAGGCCAAATTCAAAGTTAAATAATTTTTTAATAAACGGCACATAAAGGGTTAATAACTTCAACATTGAATTTATTTGAGGAGGAGTACTTTTTTAAGGATATTTTTTCCGGGACCTAAACAAGGCGTGGATTTTTTAAAGAATATTTTCCAGAGACCTAAACAAGGCATGGATTTTTTAAAGAATATTTTCCAGAGACCTAAACAAGGCGTGGATTTTTTAAAGAATATTTTCCAGAGACCTAAACAAGGCGTGGATTTTTTAAAGAATATTTTCCAGAGTCCTAAACAAGGCGTGGATTTTTTAAAGAATATTTTCCACAGACCTAAACAAGGCGTGGATTTTTTAAAGAATATTTTCCACAGACCTAAACAAGGCGTGGATTTTTTAAAGAATATTTTCCACAGACCTAAACAAGGCGTGGATTTTTTAAAGAATATTTTCCACAGACCTAAACAAGGCGTGGATTTTTTAAAGAATATTTTCCAGAGACCTAAACAAGGCGTGGATTTTTTAAAGAATATTTTCCAGAGACCTAAACAAGGCGTGGATTTTTTAAAGAATATTTTCTAGAGACCTAAACAAGGCGTGGATTTTTTAAAGAATATTTTTTCAAAAGCCTAAATAAGGCGTGGTTGTGTTGGTGCCGGAAAAAATATATATTAACCAGTGAGCGGAGCAGTATAGTCGAACGGGGCCGACCATATGATAGCCTACACAACTTCATCTAAGAAAATCTAAGTTTTTGTGGTTCTATATTCTGAGCTGGGGCAATATTTCGCGATATTGGAACCCTTTTGACCGACTAGATGCCAATAAATATTTCTAAACTTCAGTACAACCCTTCTAATTTCTGGTCCACATTCTGGTTTGCGTTGTTCGGCTTTCAATTGTGGCCTATAGATCGATTCAAAAAAAAAAAACACAAAAAAAAGTTTTCGGTCCACTTCATCCAAAAATTATTATCTAGTCATCACCGAAAATTATAGGCGCTGTCCTTGACCATACCTGGATCCTCATAGAAAATTTCAAAGCGATCATCGCTATATTTCCGGGCAATGGGTTACTAAATAATATCTGAATTCGTAAGCACGTGTAAATATTTAAGTGTAACTCCCTTATCCGACAACATACGATAATGTGTATTTCCTTCAGGGGTAAATATATACCCTATAGAATACAAATTTTGTCATTTTTCACACAAAAGTCATGGTCCAATATTGACCGATCTTTATCAAACCAGTCTTGCTTATTCTTTGGCCCGATCCACTTCTCTATATAAAAATTTACGATGTGTGGACCATAATTGCGGCCTCTGGAGCGACCAGAAAATCAGACAAAAATAAAGTTTTTGGTCTATTTCATCCCCTAAATATTAACCGATCTTTACTGTATCGTGTTTACAAATTATAATGGACAGACAGACCGACGGACGGACGGACACACATGTCTAGATCGACTCAGCTAGTCGAGATACGACGATCGGTATACTTAAATGTGGGTCTAGGACCAATATTTCGCGGCGTTACAAACTCTTGGGGCTGCACAAAGCTTTAATACCTTCACAGCATAGTTGTGTAGGATATAAAAATCCACGATTTGTGTTGGTGCCTAAAAAAATATGTTTTAAAAAATCAGCGCCTCGTGTTGGTGCCTAAAAAAAATATTTTTTAATCCGCGCCTCGTGTTGGTCTCTGAAAAAATATATGTTAAAAAATCCACGCTTTGTCATTGAAAAAATGTGGTTTTAATAAATCAAGTTTGTGACTTAAGTCTTTTGTTTTTCATTTCATAAAATTGCTAAGTTGTCAATACTGCTTTGAAAGCTCATGGCTTCTCTCTCTCTTTCCTTCTCTTTGAAAGAGAGCCCATGAAACTGCATCTGCTTGAAAGCAAAAGTTGTAAGTTGTGCGTATTTTTGCCAGATTTACTTGAGCGCGCAAACTCAACGGTCGGAAGTCGGAAAAATTGGAAAAAATTACGAATTAAACGAAAATTGATAAATAAAGAAATAAAATAATAGAAAACCTAACGAGTGTGCCAATGTTTTAGTTTAAGAAAAAAAAAGAAATCAAAACCAAACGAAATAACAAATTGTTAATTGTAGTGAAAAAATTTAGTTTGGTGGCTTGAAAATAAAAGCCCAAAGTCTAAGTTGAAACAAGATTGAGCGGCTATTAACACAATTAATTAAAAAAAATATAAACAACTTTTTTGTAAAAAAAAATAATAAAATAATTACCAAAAGAAGAAGAAAAAGTAAAATTTAAATTTTTTATAAAACCTTGGCCTTTAAAAAATTTATCAAATAGTTATAAAAATAAATTGAAAAAAAAAAAAAAAAATAATAACAGAGAGCATCGATTACATAATAACAACAAACACAACAAGTGGTAACTGACAACATACCCAAAAAAAATAAAAAAAATACAACAACAAATTTGGTTACTAGCCATAAAAAAGTCGAAAACAAGTCTTACGTTAAAGGCCATTTAGCCTAAGTTCTTTACAACCAAAACAAAAATCAAAAAAAAACATACAAAGGTTTTGGTATTTTTCTGGCCAAAACCCCTGCTTATTAATGTTCGAAAATTCTTTGCCACAAACTGTTATTTAACAGTTGAGTTGAAAACCCAAAAAAAAAAACACCCAAAAGCAAAGTCTTCAAGCTCCATTGCCAATAAGCTAGAAATGTTCGCTTTTGCTGTAATTCCAAAATTCCGGAATTTATGGATTTTTGCCTTGACGCTCAGCTGTTTGATAATAAATGCCGGTTTGTATTTCTTTTTTTCTTTACTTCTGTTGTTGTATTGTTTATTGATACCGTTTTTGGATATTTTTGTGTGTTTGAAGAAAGCCAATGGGGACAAAAGTAGGGAAGGTGGGGAATGTGTGGGGCTATGTGAGCTAATATGTGTAAGCATTTCATTGACACTTTTTTGTGACGGTTTGACGAAGTTTCAAAAAAAAAAAACTTTTACTTTCGCTTTTATTTGCATTTCTTTAAAATTTCTTTAAGAGACCCTTTGATTGTTGGCCTTCTATTTTTGATTTTGTTAAATTTTTCTACTCTTCTTCTTTTCTCGATTTTTATCGTTGTTTGTTTGATTTTGCTTCTTTGTTGTTGTTGTTTTATTGGTGGCCTAAAAAAATCGCTTAGTCACTTTGGAATTATGTGTCACAGTGTATTCGCTGTGAGCTTCATCCATTGAAGGTTATCTGTGACCCTTTACTGGTTAAGTTCAAGTTTGTCGCCTAAGTCTTTTGTTTTGAACACGAGCAGAGGTGTGAATTTACATAAAAATGCGATTTATGGGAATATTTCCATTGTGCTAAGCCTATAAATTTTAAATAGGCCTATATACGAAAGCGAAATTAGTCTCACTTGTCAAGGTTTATGAATAAATATTTTATTTTTTTTTTAATAAATATTTAGAATTTTAAAACAAAATGAAACCAGTAAGGAAAGTAGTAAAGTCGGACGGGTCCGACTACATGATACCATTCATCACTTTGGGTATATTCAACAGATGAATCCTAACAGACGTCGCATTTTTAAGGGACCAGTAAAATGAAATTGGATCCATAAACATGTCATTCTGCAACCGATACTAAATTTTTTATTTGGTCAGATATTGAAGCTATATCTAAATCTGAACCGATTTTAGGAAACTTAACACACATCATTCTAGACCTAATTCATTGCGCTGTGCCAAATTTCGTGCAAACCGAAAGATATTAAGGGACTTTGGTACACCATTTACATTAAATCGGACGAAAATATATATGGGAGCTATATATAAATATGAACCGATTTTCAGGAAACTTAACACACATCGTTCTAGACTTAATTCAGTACGCTACGCCAAATTTTGTGCAAATCGAAGGAGATATGGGGACTTTGGTACACTATTTACATTAAATCGGACGAAAATATATATGGGAGCTATATCTAAATGTGGACCGATTATCACGAAACTTAACACACATCATTTTTGACCTAATTCATTACGTTGTGCCAAATTTCGTGCAAATCGAAAAATGTATAGGGACTTTACATTAAATCGGACGAAAATATATATGTGAGCTATATCCAAATCTGAACCGATATTCACGAAACTTAGCACACATCGTTCTAGACTTAATTCAGTACGCTGTGCCAAATTTCGTGCAAATCGAAGGAGATATGTGGACTTTGGTGCATTATTTACCTAAAATCGGACGAAAATATATATGGGAGCTATATATAAACCTGAACCGATTTTCACGAAACTTA